TCTGCCCCAACGGAGCCTGATTATAATTACAGTGGTGATGATGAATAAAGGTTGTGAAGTGATGCTAGCACATTCTTTCAGAAAGTTCTCCCTCTTACAACTCTGCACCACTTCAAACACTTAATATCTCTTCCATCTCAGATAACAGGTCGAAGTTTAGTCCTAAGTGATTTTTTTGTTTGTTTGTTTGAGAATTCATGTGGTATAAAGAATATGATCGTTGCTTTTAAGAAGATCACAATCTTAATAAGCCAGACACAACCTGTGGTGTGCTTAGATTCATTGTAGAGATACTGTTTATCTGATACAGGAGTGTCTTTCAGCACTAGGCAGTCGGCATATTTTCTTTCTTAACTCCATTTTTTAAAAACCAGGCTTTCTGAAAGAGGTAGACATTATGTTGAACTTTGAAGGAAAGAATGATTAGTGGGAAGAAAGATAAAAGATTGTGCCAAGCGTGAGGAAAAATAAAAGGAGAAATAAGAAAATTGTTTTGGGCAGAATTGTAGGGAGGAATGGCAAAAGTGACTGGGGAAGTCTTTAATCCTGATGGGCATTTTTATGCTTTTTTTTTTTTTAATAAAATAAGGAGCGGTTGCACAAAAGCCATTTGGTAACCTTGGTGTCCCAAAAGTGACCGATTTTTTTCAGTTTCTAGATCCCATGAACGCAGGTATCTCTTGTCAGAAGTGGGGAGATTTTGTGCTGCATGACCTAAATGATCTTGTCCTCTGTCAAGTTCTGCCTTTGGAAGCTATCACAGAAGTGGTAGGCTTGCCAATAGTAGGTTTTAATTTTTTGTTTTGCTAAGTCTTGCATTCTCACTTTTAATAGCATGTGTCAACAAGTTATGTCTGTGAACAAATAGAGTAGTAAAAAAGATTTCAGGATGATCATTTCAAAACCAATTTTCAGTAACATTTCTTAGGCAACAAGAAGAGGAAGCCATCCATTGCCAAGCTGACATATTCGGGGGTCTTCACAAAGCTCATTTGTGACTCACAGATACATAAGTAGATCACTCTGCAGCTGGGTACATTTCTTTCCCATGACTGACTTTAAGGGATTTTTGAGGGGGTGGAGGTTGATTCACTAGCTCAAATCTTAAATTGTATTGTTAGGTCAAGCTGAGGGAAGCCTCCTGTCTCCAAGGTGAGGAACCAGACAGGCAGTGTCATTAATTGTCAATTGTCATCTGTCAGCTATGGTTTGAATTTGCTAGCCAGAATGTCTTTGCAACAGCGTGCATCTCTGGTGTGGCTGGACAAACATTTGACCTCTACAGCCACATTTACAATCTGGAGGCACTCTGAGCTTGCTGATGGGTGTTTCTTTCTTTTTCTGTTTTGTTTCTAAATTATTTAGACTTACAGAAAAGTTGCAAAAATAGTACATGTAGTTCCTGTACACACTTTGTCCTGCTTCCCCTAATGTTACATAACCATTGTACAATGGTCAGAACCAGGAAATTAACATTGATATAATATCACATTAACTAATCTATATGCTTTATTTGAATTGCATCATTTTCCCCACCAATGTCTTTTTCTCATCCAGGATCCAGGCCAGGTTCCATTGCTCTTGTGAGTCCTCCAACCTGTGACAGCTTTTCAATCTTTCTTGTTTATGACCTTGACATTTTTAAAGAAAACTGACTAATTCTTTTGTAGACTGGCCCTCAGTTTGAAGGGGCTTGATATTTTCTTAGGATTAAAAGGAGGTTATGTATTTTTGGCAGGAATGGTGCTGAATAATGTGCCTTTTTGGCTTATCATACCACGATCACATGATACCATGTCTTCTACTGGTGCTGCTAACTTTGAGCCTGTGTTAAGGCAGCACATGCCATGTTTTGCCATTGTAAATTATTTTTTTTGTCTTTGTAATTAACAAAAAACTTAAAAAAAATACTTATTTATCCATATAGAATTGGAGTACAGGTGAGAGATATGGGGGTAAGAAGATTCACCAGAGACAGAATGGGGAGCAGAACAGGCAGATGTACTGAAATACACAATTGAGGGGAGCAGCAGGTGGGTCAGAAGAGGTCTGCTGTGCCATGTGGGTCACCTCCCTGGCTGGGGATTGAACTCTTGCTGCAGTGGCTGCTATAGCTTCGTAGTGCTCTGCTTTAACCCATTGTACCACCAGGGAGGGCCCAACAAAAACTTATTGGGGGGCAACTTTGAGATAGCTTGTTTTTCATTATACTTTCATTTATATTTAGCATCCATTGTTGATGCTAACTGTAATCTTTATTTCTTTGTTTTATTTCCATCATTCCTTCTACCTTTGTTAATGGTAATTTTATTGTAAGGTGGAGTTGACATTTCTCCTTTATTTGTTTATTTCCTCAAGCATTTACTTACTTTACTAGAGATTCATAGATCATTTTATTCCATGAGCTAGTAGCATTGTTGTCACTATTTGTTTTCGTTGCTCAGGTTTCCCAGGCTTGTCTGTTGAGAGCACCTACAGGTACGCCATTGAGTCTTTCTGACGTACCGCCATTACTTGATGTGCTTCCATCTTCCGACAATTGCAAAATACTCTAGGTTCATCTTTTACGTCCTTTGTCCCAGCTCTTGAATCAACTGTTTATCCAAGGAGTCCTGGTTCCCTTTAGTGGATAATGATATTTAGAAACCTCTCTGCTAAGTATGCTCCTCTCCTTGGTGGTTTGCTGGCAGATTCTCCATGGACAGGAATATTTCTCAAGCACCCTGTGTATGTGTATGTGTATTTAGTATGTCAGAAGTAGCCTGTGTGTGTAAGTCCAGAAACTGATCAAGGATATCTTATAGCCCATGACTCAGCTTTTACCTGGAGCAGATGTTTCTCAAAGATCTGTTCTGTCCTTTGGTCAAAACCAAAAATGCTTTGTGCTCATATTTCTGAAGGCATGCATTTGTGGTAGTTTCTAAGATTGCAGAGCTCTGGGTGGTCAAGGACAGGGTATCAGCAGATAACTTCTGAAGATTGCAGTAGACAGAATAGTCAAAGTAATAGCGTAAAGTAGATTTTATCTTTGTTTCATAGACATTTGTACTGGTTGGGTCCAATCACTGTACATGGTTCATAATGGTTTAAAATGAGAAGGGGAGGTTTAAGAGAGGCTTCAGGGGTAAGAGTATATAACTGAAAAGTGAATTGACTGGTGATAAAACTGAAGATTTCAGTATTGGCAAGAAGTAAGTGTAATTTGTTACAATGATATGGGAAAAGTAAAGGAGATTTTTGAGACAATTCAGAAAAGGGGTAATTGTGGTTAATGTGAATTTCTAGATCTGAAAAGATGGTAGTTTGGGTTTCTAACATAAAGAGGCAGGAAACTACTAAGCCAGGCTATTATTTAATCAATTAGTAAAGTAGAATCAAGACTTAGTTTTCCAAAAAGCTTTCTTTGATTAGTGCCTCGATATTATGGAGTATATAATTCCTGTCCACTCGTTCCCTGTCAACACACTTTATGTAGTATTATTTACTTGATAACACATTGTTCTATGAATGCCTGTCATTTTAAGCTTGCATTTGTTTATTCTGCACCTACATCACAGAGATCTATTACTGTGTCTTCCCTTCTAACACAAAGAAAGCCTTGCACCTTGCTGTGAACACAGTAGTTGAATGAACACTTGTGACATGAGTGTTGAATGAAAATTGGAAGCATTCATTAGTTTATGCTGTTAAAAATCAACAGCAGGATTCAAAGGTTATTCATAGTTAGAAATCTGGTTTTCTTATTCAGTAACGTAGAGTTTCACCAGAAGGCTGATTAGAAAACCATTCTTTTAGAATGTCACCAAAATACAATCCTTGACAGATATAACACAACTAAGTATATCATTAAAATAGATTCTTAACAGAATAAAAGCCTAGAATCAGAACATAGACGGAAGCATGGAAGCTCTGTGGAGGTTGTAAATTAGGCACTAGTCAGCATGCTAAATCTTCCACCCATTTTCTTTTTCGAAGCCCAGAAGTTAGAGCAAATTGAGCTGTTGATACAAGTTGGTAGCATGGATTTATACAAGATTCTGGAAAAGTAGGATTTTTCAAGTAGGGAAAGCTTTTAGAATACAAACTTAATATCCACTTTTGTCATAAAAGTACTTGAACCCTCTATGAGAGACATAGCAGCAACTTAGATGAATTTTTGTTGAAAACTAATTTTCAATCCTTTGTCTATGTCTTTACTAGGTGAAAACTTTATGTTGAAATAGACTGGTATCTGTCTTTAACAAGTTAAATAGCTGTATTTGAATTGATTTTTATCATGTAGTCCAAGATGATAAACCACTGGCATGGGGCTCACCCTCTTCGCTTCAAAAGATGTAGCTTTGAATTTTGCATAACTTGCTGTAAACAACAGGGTTTTTCTCTGACACATCTGAGGTTTTATAATAGGCGTTCTTTAAAAAAGTATCTATTCTTGCTAGTTAAGAAATCTGTGCCCAAGGAAGGGCTTGTGGTTGAGATCCCTCTTAGTTTGGATGCATGTGGGTATTTCTTCAGAGCCATGTTGTGAAGTTGACTTATTTTGTGACTTGCCCAAATCTATTTGAAATTTTAAATTAGGTATGTCAGTGTTTGGTTTGCAAACCTTGTCTGATTCTATTTTCTCCTTGCTTAAATGGGAACTCCTGGGGCGGTTAGGAGCATCTCACCTGCTGAATAGCTGTATGGAACAGGAAAATCATTTTAACATTGAATGTTGTGTAGGATATTGATAGTGTGAGATCTTTCTTCTGGGTTTCTGGTTTTCCTTCAGCTCCAGTAGCTGAATTCATCTGATGCAACCTTTATGGTCCCCTCAGAAATATTCAGGGGAGAAAAGAACAAGGTCAGATCTTTCAACAGGAGAATTTCAGATGAGAAATTTTAGCCATGAAACCATTCCCTGTAGCTTCTTCCGCCTTCTCCTCTGCCTATCAACACTGGCTCCATGGTGTTCTTTGCCTCTGATGGCTGTTTCTCTCCCTGCTCCTTCCCCTCTGCAGACATGCCTTGAATTGGAACGCTACCTACAGACAGAGCCCAGGAGGATCTCGGAGACCTTTGGTGAGGACTTGGACTGTTTCCTCCACGCTTCTCCTCCCCCGTGCATTGAGGAAAGCTTCCGGCGCTTAGACCCCCTGCTGCTCCCTGTGGAAGCGGCCATCTGCGAGAAGAGCTCAGCAGTGGACATTTTGCTCTCTCGGGACAAGTTGCTCTCTGAGACCTGCCTCAGCCTCCAGCCAACCAGCTCTTCTCTAGACAGCTACACAGCCGTCAACCAGGCCCAGCTCAACGCAGTGACCTCATTAACGCCCCCGTCATCCCCAGAGCTCAGCCGCCATCTGGTCAAAACCTCACAGACTCTCTCAGCCGTGGATGGCACGGTGACGTTGAAACTGGTGGCCAAGAAGGCTGCACTCAGCTCAGTAAAGGTGGGAGGGGTGGCAACAGCAGCAGCAGCCGTGGCGGCAGCTGGGACAGTTAAGAGTGGACAGAGCGACAGCGAACAAGGAGGGGTAGGGGCTGAGGCCTGCCCTGAAAACAAGAAGAGGGTTCACCGCTGTCAGTTTAACGGGTGCCGGAAAGTTTATACAAAAAGCTCCCACTTAAAGGCCCACCAGAGGACTCACACAGGTAGTGGTACAAGTTGGCCGCACGTGGTTTCTTCTTTTTCCTCCTTTAGCCTCGTGGTGGGAAGGGCTGCCCTCCGGTCCCAGAAGTGGCATCTGTGCTGACTAGGAGGTATAGAGAGGCAGGAGGGCCTGAATGGGGTGGCAGTGTGATCACTTGTTACCTTGAGTGCTCTAGGTATCCCCAGCACAGAACGGGGGCTGTCACCAGGGGGCTGTGAGCTACTTCCAGAGGCAAAGTCAAGCCCAGGGTAGACTCAGCCATCCCTAGGATGACTGCGGGGTACAGACAGGGTGACTCGCAGCCTCCATGATGCAGGCACTTGGTAGTTGCCTGACACCTGCCATTGAGTGTCATTCTGCAGTTCTGATCATCTCTGGAACCTGAGCAGGTACATTAGAAAGAATTCACAGTTAAACAAGGTAGGCTGAGTGTCCCTGTTCACTCTTTTCCCAGCATCCCTGATTTTTCATCAAAGTCACCAACAGCAGGAGGGTTTCAGAGTTCATTAGATGTGATCATTCTATAATTAATTGGCATCTCCTCTTTTGCATTGTTCTCTGGCGCGTGCTTTATGGAGAGATGGTAGAATTGCTTTTTAATGAGCTTGTTACTGAGAAGTTGCTAAAGTGATTCCATTGCTATGTGTGTGGTACGGGCAGGTGGGGGAAGGATGGGGCTCTATATTTTACTCAGAACTTCAGTGGTGACTCCCAGGAATCATATTGATCTTTGGCACAGTGGGATAATTTGGAAGAGTAAGGTTTAGAGAGAAAAGAATGGGTTTGGCTTTTTCTTAGAAGCCGATCTTTGTTCTCTGCTTTGAGGTAGAAGCTTGAGAATAGGGAGTCTCTTCCTGGTGGTAGCTCCCTAGCAGCAATCACCGCCTTCGGCGGTTTGCAGCTGAGCCCAGCCTGTGGGTCTGGGGTGTTTCTCACACAGTGCGCACTGGGGAGGGAGCACTCAGAGTGGGAGTGTTGGAAATGGATGGTTGGATTTCAGCTGGAAAGTGGTGTCTGGTGACAGCTCAGTGCTTCCTGAGCTCAGGGGTGGCTCGTGGACTGTGCCACCCAGGAAAGGTAGGTGCAAAAAGTTCATTGACTAAGAAAATCAGAAAAACGTGGGTTCTGGTTTGGCTCTGCCCCTCACTGGCTCTGTGACCAGGAGCGCAGCCCTGTGCCCACAGGGCCTCCTTCTCCAAGTTGCCAGACAATGTAATCCTTTAGTCCCCCTTCCACGCTGATGTTCTTGGGGAAGGGGGTGTCTGTGAAATGCCTTTGTTGCATCACAGAAGAACTTTCCTGAAATGGGATGCTTCACATGTAACTAGAAGAAATCATCATTTTGAACATCAATTATTCCCATGGAAGGGTGAGAACAGCTACTGCTTCCTTAAAGCGCAGGACTTGGGTCTCTAATTTTAAACTGAATTCCCCAGTGGCTTGTATTTGGTTGAAGAGAACCAACCGTTAAGTTTGGACCTCCAGGCTCAGGTCCTGGCTGTGGCTGCCCACCCCACTTAGTTCAAGGCTAATGCTTCCTTTTGCCGTCAGGTCTTCTGCTTATGGTTACTGTCCTGGAGGTCATTTCTGGTTGTTTTTTTTTTTTTTTTTTTTTAATGAAGGCAATGAGTAAAGTCATGACGAGACATTGCAGTGTTCCCAGGCTTTGGTCTGACTCATCTGTTCTCCCCAGGAAACCAGCGAGAGCAGGATGAGACAAGAATGTTATGCTTTGCTGGGAGTGTAGAATTCATGATTATGGACTTATTTCTGAATTATTGACACTAAGACAGGCTAGATCCTGCCTAGTATGGAGGCTGGATAACTCCAGGGAATTGAAGACCAGAGCATTTTCTTCTTTTTCCCTATCCCTTCTTCCCAACAGCGATGCCAGTAGAACAACTCTTAGGAAGCGATGTGTTATTTGGTGCGTTGTTCTCTGGGCATTGTCTACTCGTGGTCATTTGGAGCTCATTATGTTCTCCAGCACCTGCAACCCCTTGTCTTATGGTGGCCAAGGAGAAAGACTCCGCCCTAGAAAATTTACCCAAGGAGAGTGGTTAAGAACAGGACTTGGTGGACTTGGGTTTGACTTCTTGCTCTGCCACTTCCTGGATTTATATCACCTGGTTCGGTGACTTATCGTTTTGGGGGTGGGAGGAGATTGAGTGAGTAAATAACATGTAAAATACTTGACAGATCACAGGAGCTCTTTAAAGAAAGCTGTGGCATTGGTTGTAGTTATTACTATTGCTGTTGATATTAATTTAGCGATGATTGCATGAAAAAAACAAGCTTTATGTAAACTAGAAATAAGCTAGAGAGTCAAAATTAAATACTAGAGGAGCTGTTGTTTCCTCACTGCCACACTTCTGGTATGAGGACAGTAGTGATCAGGCATAGTTGTGGGAAGTGAAACTGGCCATGAAGTCGGGCAATGATATACCCATGGCTTTCCTAAGACAACACAAGACTCAATCACCTTGGTCCACTGGAAGCATTTTGCCTGTAAAACCCTCCTCACAGACAATCCTGAAGGAAAAATAGGTGCTAGAGAAAGAGACCTGGGGATGGAGGATGGGGAGAGGGACTATGAATTAATTTGGATTAAATGGATGAGAATCAGAAGTATTTATTTGGAATTGGTGCGAATGGGGCACATGGGGAATTGAAAACAAAGGTGATAATTTATGTGGTGTGGATGAACTAAGAATAATGAAAAAAGCATGAAGGATGGAATCAAATTAAGTGCAAACATATAAAGGAAATGGTCCAGTAAAAGCTTGAGGGCAAAGGTATATGGCAGTGGGAATTCATGTTGGAGAAAAAACTGCTGATATGTGAGTGGTGTGGAGAGAGCTGCTGATCAAATGTTGAAATGAAGTTTAGAAAAATGAACTCGGTTGGATTTGGGCAAGCTGTTTTAATACAGGGCTCACTTTAATTCAGTAAAAATACCGCCTTAGCTTTCAGTTGGAGGAGTGTTTTTGGACAGGAAAAAAAAATGACAAGAAAACCATCAGGAAAAAGGCATTTTGTTCTCTAGAGTTATATATATTCTACATCTTTTCTATATGGTAATATATGGAAAAGGAGATACAGTTGCAAAAATGCAATAAAATAAAATGTGTGCTCACTATGCATAGGAAAGACAATACGTTGTTGATAACATGAATTTGCTTGCAGTGAAGAATTTCTAAAGTGTTATTTATTTAATCTTTCTATAGATATAATTTATTAAGATGAGAAAGATGTGCTTCCCTCTCTCCTCCCTTCTGTATCTGTTTTTTGAGGATGCTGAATCCTTCAAATTTTCTGCCCTGGAGGATGTTAGGCAATGAGGTGATATATATTTTTAAGATAACAGATGTTCAAGTTGGTAGCTAGGGCAAAAATACTGGTTGCCCATGGAGGTGAAGTTAGGGATGGGGAAATCAGCCTGGGATGGAAGATGAGGCAGGCACTGGGACAAAGGGAATATTGTGGAAGTAGCAGGATCTCAGTGAAAGGAAGCATATAAAATTGGACATATGGTTTATTCATTGGGAAGAGCACTTAGTGCTGGCATGAGCGTAAAAATGTCCTTTAGCAGCCAAGTCATTACAGACCTTTCTCTCCCACTTCGTTTTCTGGTCTTTGCATAATATATTTTTCTTGCTCAATTCAACCATTATGATCATAGTTTTATTCATCTTTTTGGCATCAGTCAAATCATCCTTACATTTTGATGCAAGGGAAAAAATCTCAATTCTGATTTTCAAAAATCACTTTATTATGCTCAGCAAAAAAAAAAAGTTAAAATGATGTTGGTAGTTTGTTGCAATAAGAAAGAATTATTGTCTATATTTCTTTGTGATCACTTTTGAGAAGAAAAAATGTCTTTTGTGATTGAAATGGTGCTTGGCGTTAAAGTGAGCAGACTTACTCTAATACAGAAATTCATAAAGCATGTCCACATTTACACTATTAACAGTGTGAGTCATGGTGGTAAAATCAGGACAAAGGCCAGCAACAAGCTTGTTGGCTATTGGTCACAGTGAAAAGCCAGAAGAGCCAGGCCATGTTCTCACATGGGGTTTGGGGAGCTCTGTCTACAGATTGGGATTGCATGGGTAGTAAAAGGATATTCTAGATTTTGCACCAGAGGATAGAAAGAGATGCTTCTCAGGTGGAAAGATAATATGATAATACACATATGCAATTTACTCAGTGTTTTGTACATGCTTTGGAGCAGGTCTTATTGAATCAAGACATGACATGATCTCTAAGTTTAATTAGGATTTAAGGAGACCTTTATTTTTAAGTGGAAAGGTGGCTAAAAGTGTTACAGACAAAAAGATGAGTATCATGTTTAAAATGCAAACAAAAGTATTCATTTTATACATATAATGAAAGTTCTTTGAGGTTTAAAATACTGTATTTTAAAATACTTACAAAGTATTTCTGCATATTAGGCACTGTTCAAAGTCTTATACAAATATCAAACCCTTTAACCTTCATATTAATCCTTTTTTATAAAGATTTATTTATTTATGCATACAGAACTGGGGTACAGGCCAGAGGTGTGGGGGGTGAGAGGATTCACCAGCGACAGAGTAGGGAGCAGAATAGACAGACTGACAAATACATGACTGAGGGGAGCAGCAGGTAAGACAGGAAAGGTCTGCTGGGCCATGTGGGTCACGTCCGGGCCAGGGACCCAACTCGCCCTGAAGAGGCTGTGGCTAGCGTGGCAGTGTTGCTCTTTAACCTACTACATAACCAGGAAGGGCCCACCTTTATATTAATCAAATGATAGAGCATTATTTTTATTTTATAGCTAAAAATGAGGCTGAGCGAGGTCAAATCACTTGACCAATGTCACACAGCTCTTCGGATACTGGACCAAGATTCTAGCCAAATAGTATTACCCCAGTCTGGGCTCTTAAATTCTGTGCTGACTAATGAAGGGGAAGGAAGTCAAGTAGATATTTTTCTTAATAACCTATTATTAAGAGGAAA